AGTGACTGATAAAGCGGCGGAAGTAAGACGCCAGGCCCACGAAACTTCGCAATTGTTTTTGATTGCCCGGACGTGGAAAATTAATTACGGCAGCAACCTTGTCGGGGTCGGGTCGAACGCCATCTTTGCTGACAAGGTGACCCAATACTTTGATGCTCCTGCTGGCAAAGTGGCACTTCTTTGTATTGAGCTGAAGCCCAGCGTTCGAAATGCACGTAAGAACTTCGTCCAAACGCTTAAGGTGCTGAGGAAAAGTAGAAGAATAAATTACGATGTCGTCCAAATAGCATAAGCAGGTTTTCCACTTTAGACCACGTAAGACAGTATCTATCATGCGCTCGAATGTTGCTGGAGCGTTGCATAAGCCAAAAGGCATGACGTTGAACTCGTAAAGCCCATCAGGCGTTGCAAACGCTGTTTTCTCCTTGTCTGCTTCGCACATAGGTATTTGCCAATACCCGGATCGAAGGTCAAGGCTGGAGAAATATTCTGCGCCTTGTAAGGAGTCCAGGGCATCATCTATGCGTGGCAACGGATATACATCTTTTTTCGTTATCTTATTTAGCGCTCTGTAATCAACACAAAAGTGGACAGAGCCATCCTTTTTCCGGACCAACACCACAGGAGACGACCAAGAGCTGGATGAAGGTCGAATAATATCCCATTTGAGCATGTCGGCGACGTTTTCCTCAATCATTTGCCGTTCCGCCGAAGACAGACGGTATGGGCGGCGGCGCACAATGGAGCTGCCTTCGGTTTCAATGCTGTGCTCTGCAACAGATGTGCGGCCCAAAACTTTGGAATGTACGTCGAACGAAAAGCTGTGCTTTTGGAGAAGGTCTAAGAAGTCTCTCTTTTGCTCAGCAGTGAGGTGAGGATTTATGGTACCATTTAAATCAGCAGTGGTTGCCTTGGTATCGGTTGTAGCAGACGAAGGCGGTGATTCTGCGTGAAGAGGAACCAGCGAAAAAGGCTCGCTGTCAGCGAAGCAGCTCACAGCAGTGCCCTGGGGCAGCATCACTGGCGATAAAGTTGGGTTCAAGGCGGTGACCAATGCCTTACCGTCGTTAAACCGCACAAGGCCGGGTGCAATGGTAAGCCCCGCAGGTTTGGAGGGAACTGATGGAGCAATGAACACGTCACCGTTAACTATAGTATCCGAAGCGATCGTGAGAATTCGTTCATCTCCTGGCGAAATGAAACAATCCGCGGCAGCAACGAAACGGAAGCTGTATGGATCGACATCAGATGAACTCTCAGTAGCTGACATATGAATTACTCGCTGACGACACGATATGAAAGCTGATGCCGAAGAAAGGAAGTCCCATCCTAAAATGATTGTGTGAGTGCACAAAGGAAGTACAAGAAACTGAATGTGGTGAAGGATGCCATCTATGAAAACGCAGACTTTACAAACACTTGAAGGCTGAATAGGGACTCCATCTGCGCAACGAAGGGGAGGGCCATCGTATGGCGTCCTAACTTTTTTCAAGCGGGCACAAAAGTCTGCACGAATTACGGAAAGTGATGCGCCTGTGTCTACTAGTGCCTCTGTCTGTATACCTTCAACATACACCAATAAAACATTTGAAGGGCGGTCTGGAGGAGTTTGACGCAGTTCAAAAGATGCAGCTTTCCCTCCCGAAGCTGCACTGTTTAGTTTTCCAGTTGGTGGTCGGGAATCGAAGTAGAAGGTTGAAGGGGAGAGGAGGAACGCCGCATCGGTGAAGGTGAGCGACGACGTGAGAAACGCGAACTGCCAACTGAGGCAAAGTTCTGCGGAGACGGCGACCGGCGTGTGCTGTTCTGATACAGTCGGCGATAGGTTGGTCCAGTTGGGTAGAAGTCGTCCCGTTCATAGTCACCGTAGCTTCGTTTTTCGTCTTGTTGACGGCGTCGGCAAAACCTTGAAATATGACCACGGATGCCGCAATAAAAGCAAGTCGGTCGTGTAGTGCGCCAGGAGTTGTAAGGCTGGGAAGATGGTCGCGGTGCGAGCGAGTTGAGCGAACCATTCACATCGGGCGCTGGTAGCTGCATTGGGATGTGCTGGGGTGCAGGTGTCCTAGCAGCAACCTGAGCATAAGTTGGCATGGCCACAGGATAAGAACTCGGAACAGGTGTGACAGTCATCGAGGCCAGGCTTTGGTGGGGCGCAGGCGTCGTTGCAGCAACGTGAGCATAACTTGGCATGGGCACGGGATCTGAGCTCGGAACTGGTGTGCCTGTGATCAACGCCAGTTCCTCCCTCACGACGTCGCGTAAACTAGAAGCAGGTGGCGTTGTTCGAATATCAAGGTGGCGAGGTGAATACTGTGCATGAAGTTCCTCGCGGATGATAGAGCGGATCAATGAACGCAGCTCTGTTGTGTCATGACTCGAGCTGAGATCAGGCATATCAGGGTGCACCCGAGTGGTTTGAAGCTCCTCGAGGCGCTGACAGGTAGCTACAACATCGGCTACGGTCTGGGGATTCTGCACCACAAGCGCATTAAAAGCGACCGTCACAATGCGTTTCAGCAGGTGGCGCACGCGGTCGTTTTCCGCCATATGGTTGTCGATGCGGCGGCAAAGGGCGAGAACATCTTCAATGTAAGAAGTGTAAGACTCGCCGGGGCGTTGAAAACGTGCACCAAGCCTTTTCTTGGCAATATCCGAGCGCACTGACGGGTTGGCGAAAATCTGGCGGAGCTGGCGCATAAAAGCGGGCCATGTCAAAAAATTTGCAGTGTGGTTTAAAAAACACGTTTTCGCGACACCGCTCAAGTAGAAAGCAACGTGGGTGAGTTTCGCAGGCTCATCCCAGTTGTTGATGGCACTCACGCGGTCATACTCCTCGAGCCAGTCTTCAACATCCTCACCCGGAAGCCCTGCGAACAGCGGAGGATCCTTTTGAGGGCTGGTGACCAGGTGAGAAGGGTTTCTTGGCAGTGGGAGCGGTGGTGCAGCTGCTGCGCTGGGCTGGTCGGCTTGCGACATTACCGAACCCAGGTCGTTTAAGCGGCGGCCTGAACGGAGCTCCAGGGATGTGTTCTAGAAGACGCTGGGGTTGTCCGAGAGCGCGAGAGGACGCGGGAATCGGGAAGCACTCTCCACCACTTGTAAGATGGCGTCCAGTACCCTCAAGACTCTTCTTTATTGTCTCGAGTATGTGCCCCACAACCTAAACTGGAGTGGTGATGATGAGTATGTACAGATGAAAAGATGGAACGAGTAATGATGCTCACAATATATATATAATATATATATATATATATATATATATATATATATATATATATATATATATATATAGTGTTTGGGCAAGGCAGCAAAACAATTGAAACCATCATTAACGAAAAATATCGTCATGAACAAATTTCTGGTCTTGTACTAACACAGAGGCTGGACGTTTTTGTGTTGTAGTATTGTTAAGAGGCTGTGATGCTGAACATGGCGTTAGTGAATGCGGCCTGTTGGTTGCACAGATTACTTACGAATACAAGGCTTTCTGAATCCAACCTATCCCTCTAACGTACTTGTTAAAAATAAAGTTCCCTCGCAAATAAATCTACACGGGCGTCAGATCTATTCCAATATGCATGAGATGAGTGGTGCCATAATATATTTGAACTTTCAAGTAAGGCTATAATAAATCGCAGGTGCGCGTTCACTGCAAATGCCACGAAAGAAGAATACCATTAATTAGGAAGCGCTATTTAGACATATTTTTACAGCGGAGTCATGTATGGCGAGGCGAAAGCGAAATTCGTATGTAACCAAAATCTTTTAACAACATGAACGTACCATGAAAATTGCGCAAGCCCCACTACTCACACAGAAATTGCCACAGAACGTGCCACAGAAATTGGAAAAATTCCGTTGCTCACCACTGGTCCTCTTAAAATGAAGAATCGAACACACTGACGATCAACACCAATAAAGTTTTTGGAAAGACGCAACCGATAATGTAAAAAAAAATCGGCAGATCCCACGTACCTGATAATCGACGTTATGCGAAGCATGCGGAGGGAAGGTGACCGTGTTGCAGTTCTTTTTCTCGAGCGACGTGTCATGAAATGACGCTAAATATATTTACAAGTGTTGCACGCACAGACATATGTTGAAGAGTTGCAGATGTTTATGTAACCAGTTGTTTGCACATGCGCAACAATGTGAACTGGAGCATGCCTATTGGCAACACCAGAAGCTAATATGAAGCGCTGATGCTAGCAAGGATTCTGGCCCTGAACACTGCTACATAAATCGACCTCAGCGCATGGCAACTAACCACAATTGACGTTACCCCAACGTGACGGCTGTATCAAAGTTTATAAATTGGGTAGGCAACACTGCAAACAGTATTGACGTTTCAGGAAGATTAGCGTCTATTTGAAAAGTGGTTCCGACACCTGGCGTAGCTCTTTGGTAAAATGCTTCATTGCCCCGCACAATGCTTGGGTTCGATTCCCGCTGGGATCCTGACATTTATTCTTTGCATTCGTCGGGTCGACCCTACCGACGTCGGGTATTTCTTAACGCTCACGTGTTGAAACTTCCCATGTGTGTTCTCGTCGTTCCTGGTTAGATACTAAGTGTCAATCACCTCTGGCACATACCCGCATACCAGCGGCACATGCGTGGGTATGTGCCACTGTCTGGCGGGAAGCGTTTGACGATGTACGCGATGGTATTGTGACATTATTCATGTCTTTACCAGCGCGTCATATTCGTCAAACCATCTTAACCTCTCATGCTAATTTTGGTTCACGCCAAGTTAAGGGGGTGACCGCAAGAGCACCCAAACGTAAACGGCTAGATAGATATATAGATAGATAGATATGCTCACAGTCGCCGAAGTTTGCTGAGAAATGCTTCGCATTTAGAAGTCTTTGATTGCCTGATATTATTAACCTAGTGATAAACACCGGAGCCACGCGTTTCAGCTTTGCTATTAGCCATCTGTGCGCAGTGCTTGGGTGCTGATATTTTCTTTTATCTTTTCTTTCTCCTTTTTACAGAGGCAATCCTTGGTGTGAAAATAAATGAAGCTGAGGTCCAAAAGATGCGGCTGCTTGAAATAAACGATGAGTACGAAAAAACACGTTCATTAGTGAAGGTATATCATGGCGCGCAAACTGCCTGTGCCGCCAGCATTCACACACTATGGCAACACCGCTTTTACCTCGGGTGTTGTTGGGCATCCTACTAGAAATAAATCCCAAAATGAAAATTTCTTTCATGACGTCACTGGTCAGGTCCCAAAATAGAGGGACAGGATGAACTATCGTTAGGAGGAAGGTTGCCGCGGAAGCCCTCCTTTTCCACTTCGCATTCAAGCGGAATGCACTCGTGCCTTCTATCAGGTCCACTGGCCCGTTGGGTGATTCGGCCATAAAATTTGGTTACTTTTTTTCTGATTGTGTTCATGTTTTCTGAAGACGCAGAAGTTAAGCTGACTGGTTTTCCAGTAACACGAGACTCGATCAACACAAATAAAATGCACATTTTATTGAATATTTTGTATGAAACAAAAAAGATACATACACGTGGTGTGAACGTGTCAATCTATAAACGCAGCTTTAATTTACAACTGACTAATGGACATAATGAGCAAACGTTTAATCCAGAAAGTCCAAATCAAGGAAAAAATTATTAATAATCGCGAATAGGACACGGCGTATTTGACTCAATCACGTTTCTTAAGACGGCGCGCATAGTTTCCTTACAGAACTGGAGTACCAAACGAGACTGAAGATCAGAGGCACGAAAAGAATTAAAGCGATTAGAAGTTTTTCGAGAAAGAACGTCGCCTGAAGCAGTGTTTCGGCATGCTGACTTGTCTTCGTCAAAGCAACAGCGTCGCCTTGACGAAGAAAAGATCGCTTGTCAAAACATTAACTCCATCGACAGTCTCTGTAATAATTTTAGAACCATTTAGTTCATCACGTGTATTTGAACGACACTAATAAAACTTAAGACTCGTAACTATTCAAATCACTGCTACAAGTATTTCATGAGCAGGAAGCAGCCTATATTTACATGACATCATTTGAACTACACGCCAAAAGTAAAATAAACGAAAACTATGTAGCTGAGCAAACTCGTATTCAAGCCCTTCAATAAACACATTTCCCCGACAGGAGCTTGGCTGCCGTCTTTCCCAGTTAGTCCAGCAACACTAAACTAGGGAGCAGAAAATCCCTATACCTCCCATGTATTCGCTATCGGCAGCGGCAGTGCCAATTTTAACACTGGCGGTTGCCGGGCATCCTACTGCAAATAAATCAGGAAAAAAATGTCTTTCATGACGTCACTGGTGACGTCCAGAAATAGAGGGAAAGTACGAAAAACTGAGGGCAGGAGGGTAGCCACGGAAGCTCTTCTTTCCCACTTCGCACGCAAGCGGAATGCTCGTGCCTTCTTTCAGGTCCGCTCATCACTCGGGCGAAGCGGCCGTTCTTACAGTTTTTAAATCTTCTTTTTTAATTTTGAATTTGTTCATGTTTTCTGAAGAGATGAAAGTTAAGCTCATTGATTTCTCAGTATGACTAAACTCACTCGGCACAAATAAAATGTGCTTTTTTTATTGCACGTTTTGTATAAAAAAACAGACATTAACATAGTCTGTAAGTGTCAATCTATAAAAGCAGCTTTAGCTTACAACTGACGTATGGACATAATGAGCAAATGTTGGAAGCAGAACATTGGAGCCAATGCGAAACTTATGAAAAATCGCTGGTTCACAATCGTTGGCTATACCTTGGGCTAACCACGATACTACCAATGGGTTATCTCTTCTCGTTTCACAGGATTGGCGCCAGCATAATAGCGAGGATGATGAACCTTTTTCACTGGCCCAACATTATTTACTGCATGACGCAGGCTTCGAAGGACTTTAAGAAGAATGTCAACTTCATCCACGAGTACAACAGACAGGTAGGTAAACAGTGCGCAGCGCACCATCATTTTCAACTTTCCTTTGTAGAAAAAAAGCTCTACAAATGCATGTCTTCCAATGTTCTTCATCGCGTCGTAATGGCGTTGAACTGCCGGAGTGCAGCTACCGGAGAATAAATGGGGCAGCTTTGACATCACGACGTGTGATGCACTGCGAAAATGCGTCGCAGCTGCGCTCTATCGCGACCCCACCACTGGGGTACCACGAATCCAGGCGAAGGTTCACAGGTATTCTAAGCCACTTAGAGGTCTAAATTTAGCTGTAGCGTTGCAGTTGTGCAAAAGCCTACGACGAATGATTGTGCAGAATTACACGCGTTGGGCAGTCAAAGTAGTAGTACTAGTGTTTATTTCTACAACCCAATAGGCAGCACAGCGCAGCATCAAGGGCAGGGGAACAAATATTATAAACCATAGGTGTCTCGTCCAATCATTGGGGAGGCTGTTTATCAAGGGAGTGTCCAGCCAATTGCCGACACTAAACATTAGGTGGAGATTCCTGTAGCTTCCACAAACTACAAGATGCTGTGGCACAATCAAAACGCAGTCTTGCTCGCTGTTCGATGTTGTGTTCGTCCGCTTGTCTTACGATCCACTTCTCTCAGTGCTCCTCCTCGTATACAAGAGGTAAACCTCAGCCAATTTTTAGCAGTGGAGCTGTTTAAACCGGCTGTGAAAACTTTTGGCGCCCGCAGAAAACCCCCGAGGAGCTCGGAGTAAAGCCGTGTGCCCGAGAAGCCCAGGCCGTGCAGCCCTGAGCTCGCGCTGCAGTGGGCATGGCACGAATACAGAGCGCAACTTGCGATAGCAGCGTTGATAAAAAAATTCGGCAAATACCACGCACCTGGAAATCGACGTTATGCGAAGCATGCATGCGGAGGGAAGGTGACCTTGTTGCAATTTTCTTATTGAGCGACACGTTATGAAATGACGTTAAATATATGTAAAAACGTTGCACGCATCCACATATGTAGAAGAGTTGCAGATGTTTATATAACCAGTTGTTTGCACTTGCGCAACGATGCCAACTGGAACCTGTGAATTAGCAACACCCGAAGCTGATATGAAGCGCTGATGCTAGCAAGGATGCTGGTCCTGAACACTGCTACATAAATCAACCTCAGCGCATGGCAACTAACCACAATTGACGTTACCCCAACGTGACGGCTGTATCAAAGTTTATAAAATTGGGTAGGCAACACTGCAAACACTGTTGCCGTTTCAGGAAGATTAGCGTCTATTTGAAAAAGTTGTTCCGAGACCTGGCGTAGCTCTGTGGTAAAATGCTTCATTGCCACGCGCAATGCTTGGGTTCGATTCCCACTGGGATCCTGACATTTATTCCTTGCATTCGTCGGGTCGACGTCGTCCTATCGTCCTATCGACGTCGGGTATTTCTTAACGCTCACGTGTTCAAACTTCCCATGTGTGTTCTCGTCGTTCCTGGATAGATACTAAGTGTCGATCACCTCTGGCACATACCCGCATACCAGCGGCACATGCGTGGGTATGTGCCACTGTCTGGCGGGAAGCGTTTGACGATGTACGCGATGGTATTGTGACATTATTCATGTCTTTACCAGCGCGTCATATTCGTCAAACCATCTTAACCTCTCATGCTAATTTTGGTTCACGCCAAGTTAAGGGGGTGACCACAAGAGCACCCAAACGTAAGCGGCTTGATAGATAGATAGATAGATATGCTCACAGTCGCCGAAGTTCGCTAAGAAATGCTTCGCATTTAAAACTTTTTCGCACTTTTCCTCCGTGGGTGAACTTCCGCACTCAGACGAAATGACGAACACATTAAAGATGAGGCATCCGGTTTCAAAGACCACACAACTTTGTCGCATGGCATGACGACCCGTTCTATCATAGCCAATGGAACGCAGTGTGTGCTGAGAGATATATTCGACCTTTTGTACTGTTAGCTCATTAAAAAAAAATGGTGTCGCCAGAGCCGGGAAAAATTATGAGTACCGCCAAACTCAGGTAATTCGGCAGACCGCTTCCCCCAAGACTATCTGGGTGCCCATAAATTCCGCTGTCTAGCATTTTGCCTACGGTGCAATTTACGCCAATTTTTGTCTTTGTTTTAATTCACAATTCCGTCCATACGTTTCTTATTTGCTCTTCCCTGGCACAAGCTTGCAATGCACTATTATAAGCCCTGCTTTTAGAATTTTGTGACGAGGTGCCATAAACGTTCAAGGCCTGCAGCCACCTTTCACTCAACATTACGTTCCCGATATTCTTTCTTATTTTTCAGATTGTAAAACAACGGGTGTCGAATTACAACATGGATAAAGTGAAGGTGGACTCAAAGAAGTCTTTCTTGGACGTTCTCCTGCACGCGCACGTGGTGGATGGCACGCTAACAGAAGATGAAGTCAGGAACGAAGTCACATCTATATTTATTGGGGTAAGCGTCATTTCGATATCTGAATTTAACTCTTTGGCCACACGGACACTTAAAAATAAAATGCAGTAAAAAGCAGGAAATTGCAGGTAAGTGAAACTTGCTAGTTTGTAAAGTAGTTCGTGAATAGTACTGACACAAATTGTTGATACATTAGTGAATTGCTAACCCGATATGTGCATGTACATTGGCTAATCAAAGCCGTTATATTACAACAATATATATGTATGTATGTATACATATGATATTAAGTGAAGTGCCATCATCCGCGTTGAATAATTACAAGTCACTCACTACTTCATATATTTACCATTGAAAGTACACATCACAGCAACATACATACGGGCATGAACGAGTCACAGACGAGGACATACACGCAAACGCCAAACACGCACATAGAATATCAAGAATTAGCCAGTATCTATTCTAGCAGCCCTTTCGAGGCTATTTATGCTCCTACGATAGAATAGCACACTGTGTACTGGTCATCAGCAACAGATTTTAGAAAAATAATGAACGTTTTGTACACATCATTGTTTGTCCTTCCATTTGCGTATATGAGTGTCATCACTTAGAACTAAATTTTCATTCCAAGGTAATCGACAAAATTAAGGATGGTTAGGGATACGAGTTAATAGAGAGTAACCTGCGCTTCGCCGATGGCATTGCACTGCTGAGTAACTCAGGGGACGACTTGTAATTGACGATTACTGAATTAGACAAGCGGAACAGAAAGGTAGGTCTGAAAGTTATACTGCAGAAAACGAAAGTAATTTATAACAACCTCGGAAGAAAAGAGAGCTTCGACGTAGGTAGCAGAGTACTTTAAGCTGTAAATGACTACGTATACTTAGGAAAGGTAGTAACCGTTGAACCTAACCACTAGATTGAAGTAAATAGAAGAATAAAAATAGGGTGGAGCACATTTGACAAGCATTCTCAAATCATGACTGGTGGTAGATTTTCATTATCCCTCAAGAAGAAGGTATATAGCAGCTGCATCTTGCCGGTACATACCTACGGAGCAGAAACCTGGAAGCTTAAAAGAGGGTTCAGCTTAAATTGTGGACGATGCAGCGAGTGACGGAAAGAAAATTTTCACCTTAAAAGACAAGCAGAGAGCGGAGTGGGTCAGGGAACAAACGGGCGTTAAGGACATCAAAGTTGAAATCAAGAAGGAGAAATGGTAATGGGCAGAGCATGTAGCGCCAAGGGAAGATAACCGCTGTTCATTAAGGATCACAAACTGGATTCCAAAAGAAGGCAAGCGGGTGAGGAGAACACAGAAAGTTAGGTGGGTAGATGAGATTAGGTAATTCGTGGTCATAAAGTGGCAGCAGCAAGCACAGGACCGAGTTGACTGGTAGAAACATGGGAGAAGCCTTTTTTCTGCAGTGGGTGTAGTGAGGCTGATAATGATGATGAAATTTACATAAAAGAGTGTTACGATTACTGAAAGATATACGGTGGTGCTCACAAGAAATCTGGCAACGTATTTGGCTTAGTAGTTATCTAGTTAAAGAGACCAAGAAAGCACGCTTGGTTACTAACAGCAGAAGTTTCAATCCCTACTAGCTGTTGGCTGTAGTAAAGAGATTCTGCGAAGGTAGTAAAATACGCTCGAAACAATTAAATACATGCGTTGTCAACTGTTATTGTGGTAACCATTCAAATTCCATATGTAGCGGGAGAACTGGTCATACAGGAACTGGTAGTGGGGTTGTACTGCACGAGATAAGTCCCCAAGCTACTATCCCTTTACCGTGGTTACGCGTCTTGCGTACTTTTGCAAGTAATATACATCTGATGGCATCAGCTTGATGGGTCCCTCATTCTTAGCTCGATGAAGCTATAAAGATGCCTTTTCTACGTTGAGGAATTGCAGGAAGAGAATCAGCCTGCCCTGCCATTCCTGGAGTGTGAATGGAGTAAGTTTCTTCATTCCGGGTAACGGAAAGGAACAAATTTGCGGCAAGTTGCAATTCCCCGGAATGGAATTGGAATGTAATGGATTCTCCCATTCCGCAACACTGGCTAGAACGCATCGGGATAATCACGTGGTGACGTTCGGGCTCACGCCGCGCAATTGTGCATGAGCGGGGAAAGCGTGCTCGGCAGTCGTGTGTGTAGTCGGCATTCCAGTATCTGAGCGTCTATGGGCAACAACGGGGAACAAGCAGCTGGCGGCGCACGAAAATAAGCAGTGCCTGCAATGGTTGGAGCCACTCGGAGGCGGACACCAGGCGCTGCTGCTTGATACGGTTCTTGATGGCTTTTGCAGCGTCTCCCTCGCTTGTCAGAGCGATAATGCAGGCCTTATGAAGCTTGCCATTTGCGCTTTTCTTTTTTCGGTACGATCGCCCATAGCGTGTCGAGAGCACTAAAACACAAATATGGTAATTAAGAGCCCAGTGGTGTCAGATGGACACATCGTTAGTTATAGCCATTGGGCGTGGGGCGAGTTTCGACTAACTAGTGGCGTCTCTGTCGGTGTCAACGGGGAACTAATGGCATGTGCGTGCCAGAACGGGCGCAGGGCTTGCTGCGGGGGCGCCGGGCTGGACGTTGCTTTCGTTTCATTGTGATGTTGTTGCTTCTGTCATGTGCTGCCGAAATCTACGTGAAGTGTACGAAGGCTGGAGATTACATTATCTGTTAAAATATTAGGGTCGATGAAGCATCCACAAAAGAACGATAACAAGACGGGAGCAGGCAAGATCTACAACGGAGAAAAAAGAGAAATCATAGAAGCATCGAGTGAAGAAACACGAAAAAGAAATGGAAGATGTACGTTCTTTTTCGTCAATGTAAGGGGCGAATGTTAACCTGTACACACAATAACAAAGTATTACGAAAGATTCAGATCTATCTATCTATCTATCTATCTATCTATCTATCTATCTATCTATCTATTTATCTATCTGTCTATCTATCTATCTATCTTTCTATCTGTCTATCTGTCTATCTATCTATCTATGTAGCCGCCAATGACTTTTAGCTCTCCCTGATTGTGTCACGTCACTGTATGAGGAGCAAAAGTGACCAGTCATAACATGAAAACCATCACATGTATGTCATGAGTATCATGATTTACATGTCATGGTCTCGCTGCTTTTACGGTGGTTTCGTTCACATGACATGCTGCAAAACTGGTGTAGTATGACATGACTTCATATCGAACATAAGGAACAGACCCTAGCGTGGAAATCATGCCATGCATGTCATTTAAGTAATTACTACACGCCACGCTGATGGTGCTCTCACGGCCGTTTTACTAGCTTCTTATATGCCGAATATGGTATTACATGATGTGAATGGATGACTAAAGTATATGACTCGTGAAAACATGATGATCATGACATGCGTCTCATGTAAGAACATGACCACTTGCCCTGATCACGGCGCACTCGCCAGCGTTTCACTAACCTAACATATACCGAATTTGGTACTACGTGACTTGAATGGACGGCGAACATAAATGCCAGGTGCACACATGATAAACATGATATGGAAGCCATGGTGGCATAATTTACGTCTACCTCCTAATCTTGTGTTGATCTTAATGTGATATATCAACCTTCCTCATTCGTGATTCGCATATCATCGGTACCCACTGTACGTGGGACCTGTCAATTTTTTAGCCTTGAGTCAAGCGTAACGAAGTGGTTCGCTGCTTCTGGGTAGATATAAACGGTAAACCACCTGTGGCTCATACACGCATCCCGCGTCCCGTGTATGTGTCACACGTGGCTGTAAGAAAAGGTTTCATAACGTACACGCCAAGATTTCCGCACAACTCATGTCACAATCAGAGAGCCATGTTCGTCATATGCTCCTCCAACTTTCTCCACTCTGAGGGGAAAAGTACGCGTTGGGGATGAGAACGCGTGCTTTTAATGCGAAAACACGATAATCTCCCCCCCTCCCCCGCGAGATGCCCATCACCAGCGGTAAGTGGTAAATATAAATAGCTTGCCGTTGAATATAGCTATAAAAATATAAATATAGCTTACCGTTTGAACGTTGAAGCACGTTCTCCTCGGTGGCTCACTGGTTAACGCCTCGCATTCGCGATTCATAGGTTCCACGTTCGATTCCACGCGCAGGAGTCTTTTTCGGGAGGACTTCTTTTTCTTTCTTGTGCTTATATATACATATATATATATATATATATATATATATATATATATATATATATATATATATATATATATATATATATATATGACGCTGGCACCACCGTCACTCACCGTATATATATATATATATATATATATATATATATATATATATATATATATATACGGTGAGTGACGGTGGTGCCAGCGGCAAAATCCAGCGGAGAGTGTCCATATAATTGCTATCGCGATAAAAAGGCGAGTTTCTCGATTCGGCTCCCACAAAAATTTTGTTAAGCCCAATTCAGTTCTCAGACGATAAATGGTTAGGCACTTCCTAGTGGCGTTTCCTCTTTAAAGAAATTTTGCTCCTATAGTATTCTATATCAAACATGAATGGGGGAAGTGCAAGGGTTTTGTGGTGGGCCCGTAACTGCAGAATAACATTAGTAACACTTTTATTTCCATCTATATCTTTCTCGACAATACCCCAATAACTATCCAACGCTACCAGGGCGTGTCCATCGTTTCCATAAGAAATGGCCCAGCAATTTCACTGCACTTTCCTCCTTCCTTATAGAGCTGTCTTCGTGCTGCGACACTTTTATGACAGCAACTTCCCTCGTGCCTATGCACTAATAAAAATAGTGCATTCTCGTAAAACCTTGAGCACACAGCAAGGCAGGCACCTTCCAACTTTCCTGTGTAGGAAAGGTTGCGAAAAAACGCATTTAGTCCTCCATCTAAAAGGAAAGAAAACCCGCTTAACGTGAACATGTGATCTTTTTGGACGTTTTTTATAGAATTTTCTGAGCTCATCTTGTTATTGCACAGGATGCATCCTTGAAGCAATTAATAGAAGGAGATAGCTGCGAAAGTTCGAAA